CAATCCCTACACCTATTTGGCTCATTTCTCTCACTTTTTCGTTACTGCATGGGATCACCCTATCAGTGACATGTTGTAATGAGGTCTAATTTTTGGACCCCAATGGCCATGTTATAATGCGCTTCCTGATTTTTTTTTCCTACTATAAAGACAGATACAAAGTTTTCACTTAATATCTCTGCCGTTTCCTTTCTCCTAGTTATATTTTTTTCCATGTCTCACTCCTAAGGAACCCATGTTTATTTTTTATATCTCTAATTCTACAAACTAAATCTCTACATTTTCAGTACCAAAAGAAGCTTCAACCATCTGGTTCTATCCCTTGAGCTTACTTTCATGTTTTCTTTATTCTTCCTTTATCATTTTCTCATCTGTGTTGAATTCTAAAATCTCCCAAACTTAGAGCTAATTACTGTTTGTGGAACATTATAAGTCTTTCCATTTCTAATTAATACAACTGTAGCTTCTGTTGTTCATCACAGCTGAAAAACTTGTTCCTCAGGGGTTTCATTACTTAGAAACTATACAGTTGTTGCAAATTATTAATTAATTCTTCAAATGTTTACCATTTCTTATTTACCATTAAATGTTTAATGTACTGACCACTCTTACTCATCTTGTTTTGCATTGTTTGGATTTAAAGCCTTAGTTTCAGACTTAAATAAGTCATCTCTACCTCAATATTAGATATTTATCATATTGTGATTAACCTTGCTTAAAGTTTCCTTTACCATAGGAATATTGATTAACTCTTTATCATTGCCCAATATTAGATTTAAAACCGCTTGTTCAAAAATTGATTCTGCAAACATAACGATCTTGAAAACTTAAACTTAGCTTAAACGCATTCCGTGAACTTTTATTCCACAATATATCAGCAAAATGGATTTGGCTAATCTATATTAAGATGAAAGTTCCCCATGATAACTATGTTATTTTTATTCATGCACCTCTAATTTCCTGAATTATGTTCTGCCTAAATTGCAACAACTATCAGAGGACCTATCAACTGCTCCCAGACATGTTTTCTGCTTCTTGTTGTTTCTCAGCTCCATGAAAATAGATATTACATCTTGATTTCCTGAAGTAAAGTATTTTCTTCTTTACTGTCTTTAACCCATTCTTTATTAGTGTGGCTAAACACCCAAAGCCTTCTTTTCCAAGTTGTCTTCCAAAACTCAACTATTCCGGAACAAATGAATCAGCCAATGACAGTCACCTATGTTTTAAAATTGAAATAAGCATAGGAAAAGCTTTTACGTTCCCAGCTAATATTATCACCAGACATGTCAGATCTCACACAGGAACCCAGCTTTATTGATGGTATTTTTTGTTTGTAGTATTTAAGTAGTCTCTCACTGAAACATAAGAACACAATGTTACGTATTTTGTTTTAACAACAAAACACAAATATATATTACTAAAGGAACATTTATAAAATAGAATAATCCAAACTATCTACTTACAATGAAATTCAAAGATGTAAACACATAGTGAAAGTATAACAAAGTGAGGAGCTGGAGGAACACAGCAGGCCAGGCAGCATCGAGGAGCAGAAAGCTGATGTTTCAGGTCGGGACCCTTCTTCAGAAATTTCTGAAGAAGGGTCCCGACCCAAAACGTCATCTTTCCTGCTCCTCTGATGCTGCCTGGCCTTCTGTGTTCCTCCAGCTCCATACTGTGTTATCTCAGACTCCAACATCAGCAGTTCTTACTATCTCCTAGTGAAAGTATAATCCCATTAATCCCAAAACACTCCTTTATAAATTGAAAAGAAACAAAACAGATTTTGTACCGCACCCAAAACACATCCTCATACAGATTCCAAAACACTACCCATATAATACTCATGCCACAATCCCAGAAGCAAGTCCCTCTAAAGAGCACCTCAGCAAGTTTAAGTCACTTGTGACTTCAATTTTTAGACTAGAACTGTGATAGCATTTTCCTGGAGCTACCATACACCTAAGCTTCAGTGCACTCAGCTTTAACTGCTTCAGGGTTTTTATGCCAACATTCCTAGTCTGGGACTAATGCTAACACTCTAAGTTCAGGACTAGTTCTAACTCATCACTTCAAAGTAATCTAATTTACTATATGTATAATTTCTTTCTCAACAGCACTATTCTATACAGTCAACATAGTCCGAATACTTCAAAGGACTGCCCCACTTAAAGTGAAAGTGATAGTTATCTCTCTCTCTCCCTCTCTCTCTCAGCTCTGACCTTTCCCTTATGCTTTACATAATTCCAGTACTATTTAAAAATAGCTTTGCAGCTCCATTTGTTACCATGCTAGGTTGCAAAACAATCTAAATTTAGACAAAAGTCCAATGGTAATGTGCCCCCACTCACTCTACAGCCAGGCTTCAAAAACTGTTTCAAAATAAATTACCATGGTTTACAAGCTACAAGTTTGTTATTAACTTTAGTCACACAGAAAACCCACCTGTTCCTAACTCAAAACCAGAAACCCAAACTAACACCAGATAACATTAAAAACAATTCATGTAATTCCCACAGTTTAGAGTACAATGTACGTGTTATTTCTGTCTGCAGAGAACAGGGCTTTGTGCATTAATATCTGCAGCTACATATACACACAAGTGCATCATCATCCTGCAAGCTCAACTGACAAGCCTAAATTGGTTGTCAGCATAATTCTTTACATGTTCAGCATTATTCAGCAAATGTTCTCAATTGCGGAATGATATTTAATGTTGGATACTTTGAGGCTTTATCAAGTTTTGGCTGGTTGGGTGTGGTCAGTACCTTGCTTATTGTGAATAGACAAAGGGACATGCTTTCTAACACGACCTGCCAGTGTTTGGGACAACAGCCTACCTACTTGGCATCACATCAGTGCTTAAATTCATTTATGAACATCTTTTTAACAAACCTTGACTTTTAACTATCAATCATTATTAATTGGCACATTCTCCATGGCAATATTTCTAACAGAGTCTACTTGTCAACCAGTAAGAACTCTTCTCTCATGCAAGATAAATGTGGGGTTTCTCCTTGAACTGGTATTCCTGTGAATTGTCCTGAAGAATACAATATGAAAAACTTTGACAAAATGTGTCATTTTCCAAAAAAAATTCTAATCTGTATCAGTAAGTTACATTAAATCAATGCCCTTCTCGACCATTCCGCCAATGGGAATGCCAATGGAACTGTCTTCCCTTATCTACTCTGTTTGGACAACTCCTGAAGTTGAAGCTCTTCAAATCTCTTCTTAAGCTTCTCTTTTCTAAGGAGGAAAGATGCTTCATCAAATCAACCATATATAGTAACTGAATTTCCTCATTCCTACCAACAATTTCGTAAATCTTTCTACACACTTTTCTAAAGTGTGGCACCTAGAACTGAACACAATATTCCAGTTGAAGCTGAATCAGAGTTTCATAAAGGCTCATTACATTGAGATGGTTCTCTTAACTTACCTAACTGATTTGACTAAATCTTTATTCTTGTCTGTTAAATCACAGATACTGGGCCTGGATTGACTTGCATCCAGCCACATACAAATTAGGTTTTTATCCTCCATTTATCAACTCTTCTGGTGAAAATTGGCTAGATATGTCTTCCTAATTGCAGTTGGATTGTGCTGCCAGTGCTGTCTGGTACTGATGTTCTTTCTAGGTACCGGTAGCCACTGACTGTAAGGAACACCAACATTCAAGGTAAAGACCAGGACTTGTTATATGACTACGTCTGTCCTTTCACCCAATTCACCTTGGAACTGGATTGTACATCTTTCGGTCATAATTTGTAGCTAAACCCTTACTGAGGAATTTGATTACAGTGGAGGAAGGGTAAGTGTGCGTCCAGAGACCCGTCGTTCTGACGGTCCTTGCTTGCCTCTTTACTTTTGCCCTTTGCCACATTCATTTGTTACCGATGTATCATATTTGACGACAAGTAGCAAATGTACTAGGTGCAGGGACTTGGGGCAGTCCTGATTCAATTCAGCGGTAGGCAAAAACATATAAGTTTTGAATTATTAATATGCCTTTTATTAGATTGTAAAAAAACTAGGCCTTAAGTAACGGGGAAAAAATAATGATCACCATATTTTAAATTACACTCAGGTCTGAGTTAAAGGCACAAAACATACTGGAAGGACAACCAAGACTTTTTACATTGTTATCCAAGGGAGATGTTTATTCTTCGTATGTAATAGCCCTCTGTGTTAATCCTGTTATACATTGCAATTCCCTGAAAAGAGGTGAGCGCCTCCAACATAATATTGCAAGATCGCTGCATTTCACACAGGTTCCAGTAAGTACCCCCTAAATTGGATGCGAAATTGAACGCAAGGCGGATTGTCGCTCCTTTACAGCTGCACTGGCTGTGCTTTC